ATATATATATACGTTAAAATCATCTTTTAAAAAATAATATTTGAGACATGTAGATTTCTTATCTTTGTTATTTAGAACGCTTAAAAAGACAAATATTTCTCTACGTCGGAAATAATTTACAACTTAATCCAAAATTTGTTAATCATGAAATTGTCAAGGGAGATACTTTTAAGGAAAGTCAAGGTATTCATAAATTGATTTATTAATTATGAAATTAAACACATGTGTAAATTGTTTGCTTAAGAAAATGTGATCAAGTTTCGTCATAAAAATCAAATAGAAGAATATTAGTAAAAATATACGTAAAGGATGTTCTGAATAATTATTTAATTGCTGACTACATAAAAAATCAATTATTAGGATATTTTTATTAGTTTTCTATGTTTTAAACTATTTATCTTGGAATTCTAAATTCAAAATTTATTTACTGGTCATTTGTTTGACTATTAATTATAAGTATTACTAATTCTAAACATCGTTTACCTTTCCATATTTGTTTCTTAGATAAATAAAATTCTTTCCACCTTTGCTTTTATTCGATTCGGTGAATCATCGCACCTGTACGACGGCCTCGGTTATCTCACTGTAATGCAGCTGCAGTAAAGAATGCAATAAAAAAAAATAGCAACGGGAAGTACAAGAATCGGGTTCTCATTGATGAAACGAAATGCGTTAATATTTGTAACATCTCACTCAAACGATACTGGCAGGCATAGATCAGATTCTGACGACATTATATAAAAAAGCTCATAAATTAAAATTAATATCGCGTTGATATATAATTTTCTCTACTTACGTGCAAGGCAGATTCTTGCAATAATAACACTTTGCCAGTGGTTTCTTACAGCTGGATCTATCTTTTCTGCATCTGTACGACGATAATTTACAAACACAACCAATAGGTATTGATCTCTGAACGATATTTTTATGTTCGTTCTTATATCGGCAATCATTCGGAAACTTGTTTCTAGGCAATTTTTCTATTTCAGTGCATCTATAACGACATAAAAATAATATAAAAGTTTAGCAATAAATTAACTACAAGAAAATTTTAAACAACTATTTGCTATGTAATCAAAATTTATTTTTAAAAAAATATCTCTTTTTTGTCGCTCTGACTTTATTTAAAATAAATAAAAATGAAATAATTTTGATTTTGAAACTAACAAGGACTCTTGATTATTCAATTACAACAATCAAACAATAAATCCAAAAGGGCCGTTGGGAATCGGGCGCGGCAAACAATGCGCAAAATTAATTACAAAACATGATTTAATATTTAGTTACGTGTGTCATTATTAAATTCCAAACATTTCGGCTCAGTTTCGAATCACCTTCAGTGTAAAATTGACGTGATGTTGGCGCTGAAAAAAAATCTTCTTTCAAATTTCGTAACAGCCACATACCTGACACGACCCTCAATTTTCCTTTCTCCTTTCTTTCTCTTATCTTGATCTTGCGGCGATCCACAACAACAGGGATTCCTCCAGCATCGTGCGCAGCATACCGAGGGTTCGCTCATCTTCCGCTGCAACTCGTTCATTACTTCCGAAAAAATATTTAGTCGTTGACAAGGTAGCTTAGATTGTTGTCGCTTCAATTTTTCGTAACAATGACATTTCTTGGCGGAATACGGCCGAAAGTCCTCATAGTTTCTCGCAAAGTACTGCCTGATTTCCCCCTTCGGTCTGGTGACACGAATTGTCCGAGTCTCATCTGGTCTTCTAACAATCCGTTCACGATCACGAGCGTGACTGTCAACATCTTGACAGTTGCAAACATCCGATGGCAACCCGCAGCACTTTCCGATCACTCTGCATGTGCATTTATCTTGAGGATTATCACAATACAGGCAAATCATTGTCTTGCGGTTACAGCCTTCTTTGATCTTGTGGCATTTTATCAAAGCGAAAGTGGCACAGCAACACTGATCTTTTAATCTGCCGCAGTTAATGCATCTCACTTGCGGTTCACATCTATCAAATGCGTCGGGAAATGACAAAGGAATTTATAAAATTTATAAATTGCATTGTTTTCATTTCAGAATTATGATTAAAAAATGTATTAAAAAATGTATCTAATTAATAAATAATTTTCTAATTCATATTTAATAAAGAGTATTCTTATCAAGTTACAATAACATTGTAAAACGATATTATAATTAATGTTATAATATATATTATAATATTATAATTAATATTATAAAATTTGACTTGCCTGCGTTTGTCGGTCATTCTCGGACAATTGCTGCGCATTGCACACCATCTACATATGCATTTTTCATGAGAAAGGCAACAGACCGCGGTCTTTCTGCACTTACATTCTTCCAGCGTTCTGCAACAATTCGTGCAGACGTTCGAGCTGATCTTTAAAGGCGATATATCACCAAATTTCGGCTCAATCTTCAAGCAACTCTCCAAATTCGATATCGGCGCGCAAGTGCATTGCATTGTCGACGAACGACAACGTGCGCAATAAATTTCTTTCCGTTCAAGTCTATTATTTCCGCAAGGACACTCCTCGAAAGTCTTATTGCGCTTTGGGCATTTAACAATTGAATATGAGTAATTATATGGATCGGAAGGTAATTCGCGTTTACAAAAGATGGATTTTTGTGGCTCCTTTTCCAATTCTTTTTGCGGGCAGGGCACATAATCTTTCGCGCACTTAGCTATCGAGCACAAACGACCATTCAGATCGGAAGATAAACCGCATTTACAAAGAATGAGTTTTTGTAACTCTTCTTCTGTTTTCTGAAGGAAATGCGAACAAACGACATGAATTTTTGCTGTTTCATCTAAAATATCTTTGGAAATTTTATCTTCATCCTCCTTTAGAGCTTCATCCTCCTTTGCAACGGTTTCGATGCTTGCGTCAATTTCGGCAACACTTACTTCCGATACAATTGAGTCATCTGCTTTTATTTCCGTCTTTACAGGGATATATTCTTCTGAAATTATTCTTTCTTCTAGTATTTCTTCTTGATCGACAAGAGCATCTGTGATTATTTCAGGAGGAGCAGATATTGCCTCAAGCTCTCGAGGTCTAGAATCGGTTATTACGGTTGGTGGAAAATACGATTTTTTTGCCGCAATGATACGTAATAATTTAGGCATTTTCCGATCTGTTTCTTGAATATCTATCTTCTTGTCCTTTTCAGCAATTGTAAATTCAGTTACTGGCGCAATTGGTTTTGGACCTGCAAAGATTTTCCTTGTCATTCCTACGAATAAGATTAATGCAATATCGGCTATCAATATTTTAGTCCATGTTTTTTATGTTATATTATATAACATTAATATCTTTATTTAACGCTATTTATATCATGGTATGCAGAAAATACGATTTATGAAAGTTCTGGAATTGAATCAAATTGTCAAAAATCATATTAATTTATATTTTACCTCTATTTATGATTTCTGTTTCCAATAATTTTACCGATTCTTCTGTAATATCTGCCAACTGATCTTTTATATCACTAATTTCATTGTTGACTTCGAAAGCTATTTCTGATTTTTCAATATCTTTTTTTTCAACGGTTTTCTTCTCTTCTATTTTTCCCATTTCTATTTTATCTGTAATGAATATTTTACCACGTTTAATTATATCAAGCAATCTTTTAAGTGGTTGTTGTAAAAGCGGTTCTTTCGGTTTGTCGTCAATCGTTTTTATTTCTTTTAAAATCTCTCGTCCTGCTTCTTCCTTCTCTTCTTCCTTTTTTTGCATTTTCTCTTTCAATTGATTATTCTTATTTAATATTAACTCTTGCGTAATATCATTCGATTGTTGTTGAGAGTGATTCTTTGATTGATTAAGTGATTCCATTCTTCGCTGATTAACAAAAGTCTTTGATGTTCTCTTCACATTTGTGTAGACAAAATTCGAACGATCATAAAGTTGTGGTGGTAATGTTGTGGGATAAATATTTTTTGATAACAGTTTAGAATCTCTAATCGATTTAACAGGAATTTGACGTGAATTTTTCGATGGGTCATTTACAGTTACTTTTACTTCTTTATTTTGTTTTACATGATTAACAGATTGCTGTTTTGTAAAATTATTAAGAGTTATGTCATTTATATTGTTTAGTTTTACTTTTTTAGTCTCGGTATTCTTTTCTTGATCGTTTAAGTTTGAGCTACTCGTGCCTTCTCCTACAAGGTTATCCTTTGCGTTTAACGATATACTTTTAACATCTTGGTTGGCAAAGTTTGAATCAGGAATCTCCTTAGAAATTGTTTCCTCTGGGGTTTCTTTAGAGTCAGGAAGCGCCGTCTTGTAAACTATGACTTCTTCCGGAGGTCCTTTCGGCTCGCCAAATTCAGTCTTGCAAACTGTGATATCTTTCGGAGGCTCTTCAGTAACAAACTCCTTACAAACTCTCGTTACTTTTGGAAGTTCTTTCGCATTTCTAAACCTTGTCCCGCACGTGGTAGTGTCTTTCGAACGTTGCACCGTATTCTCGAACGTGCCTTTACACGTCCGCGTTTTTCCGAAACGTTCGCCAGGAGCGTCAAACCACGTTTCGTATACAGCTGTACTTTTGTCTAATTTTCTAAAAGATGTTCGACTAGGAATTATTTTTTCCGGACACGTTTCTCCATTGCATACACTTTCAGAAATGTCCTTTTGAACTCTGTCAATGTCTTTGCAATAATTCTCATCTTCTTCCTTGACAGAATTACGTGTGGACCAATGTGAAACAATGTGCTGCTCCTTTTGACTATTTTCAGGACATTGTTGCAAAAATTTGTATCCCATCTGTTTCTTCTGAATATAATTTACCAAATCCTGAAATATTTTATTTCGATATTTACATTCGTCTGCGGAACATTCTTTAGAACTCCTGCCACATGTGACGCATGTGTAGCTCGATTTTGGTAACCATCTGCTGTCATCAATCGAATGGCATACATTATGTTCATCTTTGTCAACGTCATCACGATTGTCATTTTTGTAGTAATTGCTTTTTTTCATATTGGAACAAATTGTATTTGACGAGAGAGTGTCATTGTCTTCGAAGCTGGGTCTCACTTTCGAGAGATGTATAATGGTCCCTGACTGCGGGAGTTTAGTATTATCATAATTGAAACTTGAGCACGGAACTATAGAATTTAACGAGTCCTGTTGGAGTTCCGTGCTGTCAGTATCTTTGCAACAACAATCTTTAGTCGGTGAAATCGTATCCTTGAACCCGATATTACTGTTACCAACTTTGACATTTATTTCCTCTTTATTGCCCTCTTCGTTCAATTTTTTCTTGTAGATTCTACACTGTGATGTTTTCTTATCACAGACGGTGTTATCATTACTGCTCTTCTCGGGTATAAAATTAAACGATTGCTGCGCTTGCGATTTTTTCCGTTTTTCTTTTATGCTGTTTATCAATTTGCACGACGACGCGCTGCTGGCGCTTCTCGAATTGGATTGTCCGGTGGTTGTATTGGAATTTGTATCTACGTAGAATTCAGGTCTTGATTTTTTCTTGTCCTTTCCCTGCATTTTAGTTAGAATTAAAAAGTCAATTCGTTATTAACAATATTATTTTTATATAATCCATAATAAAATAATCATAATCACATGTTTTTATATTTCTTAAATATTTTTATATAAAAAAACCTGCTCTTTAATATATTTTATAATATTGATTGTATTTTAATTTCGTGTATTTATAATATTGATGTATTTAATTTCATGTATTTATATATTTGGAAAAAAATGACTTGACAAATCTACCTGACTATTGTTATTAACTTCCGAACAAATATAAAAGTTTCCAGTCATTTTTCTTTCATTGTCTGCATTATTCGTTGGTTTCGAATGCATTTTGCTCCTTTTATCGCTGTTAACTTTATTCTTTATAGGTGTTGTGCTGTCGTGCATTTTTGTGAAGTGTGAATTGCCATGCATGGATAAATTATTATGCTGCCGTGAAGCGTAGCATGCAGTTTGTCGATTGATATAAATGTTGGGCGATTTCTTAGAGCATTCTTCCAACACATGGGATCGACATACACGAGACTTTCCTTCAAGTTCTTCTGAATATGGCAAAATCGGCTTCTTCACTTCCTATTTCAAAAGAAGGTTATTTATCAAAAGAAGCTTATTTATCAAAATTTTATCTATCAATTGATTTTTTTCGGCAAGAAGCAATAGGTCAAATCAGCAATAAGTTACGAAATATGTGAAAGATCTTTTTTTCGACATTCAATCTATCTTTACTTTACGTTCACATAAAAATATATGGAAAGTATAATACAGCTAAAGTATAAAAATTTCTGATTCATGGATACTTGCATCCTAGGTACCATTGAACACTGTGTCACGAGAGTTTGCACAGCATTTTTAATAGAGTTGTTGATCCGTCTAATGGAATCATTTATTTCTTTATTGATCATCTCACTCAACCTTTCTGGACTAATATCTTCGTCGTGCAATTCCTTTTGCTTTGATATATCCACGCAAGTTTCTCGCTCGATCCTGTCTTCTCCGCACGTTTCCAAAGTGCACGCGCAATTCGCCTCCGGCAGTCTCTTATCATTTTCATCATCTGCCTTATTTTCTGGCTTCTGTTCTTTCATGATATCTTCTCTTTTTCCTGCAACCCTGCTAAAGCTCTCAAAGCTTTTCTCCTCTCTGCTTTCGGCCGATCGGCGAAGACCGACGTATCGATCCCCGACGTGAAAAACTGATGGTCTTTACGTCGCGAAAGGGGTGAGCTGCATTTGCACCGCGCAAAAGTATCTTTTATCCGGGAAATATCGTGCCCTATCTCTCGAGTCTTTAAATCCCCTGTCGACCGAGAATCTACTGCTCTTCCACTCGCTTCGATTTTTAACCCTAATCGTTTCTGCCCGCATAAGCTTCTTAGCCCCATTATCGCTTCTCATGATGCATGTTTCTTTCAGCTTTGTTACTGTACAAATATATAACACACTCTTCTTATTTCTACTTCACTTTTATTTCTTTGACTCCTAAAAAAGTTTACATTCTTCGTCACAAGACTACGATCATTTAAATTCATACTTGAAAAATTTTAGCTACTTGGTTAAGTGTCACGTCATACTGACGTTAATAACAGTAACTTGCAAACGACAAAAGAGAATATTAAAACAAATTATAACGTTTCTCATTTTTATAGCGTACGTACCGAGAACAACGTTTAACATCGAGTTATTCAATTTTTAATATGAAATTTTCATCACGTTTTAAAATTTAATAGTTTTATTATTTCTATTAAAATAATCCCGCACGATTAAAAAAAAATCATCAAAATTGAAGAGTATACCTATTACACTTTTTAAAACAAACCGTAATTTTATTTATTGAAAATTCATTTCATAATTTTATAATTCTGTTAAAATAATCCCGCATGATTAAAAAAATCGTCAACATTGAAGAGTTTACCTCCATTACACTTTTTAAAATAAACCAAAATTTTAATTATTAAACACTTTTGGAAATGTGGCAATAATTGTTAGAAATGCAGATTGTGAAAAAAGGGATTTATCGAACTCATTCCCAAGGACTTCGATTTGCCTCTGTTGCCTCTTGCTCTCTCTCTCTCTCT